AGCTGTTTGCCTTTCTGACAGGAAGCCAGGCACATCTGTTTGAAATAAGAAAAATTAATAATGACTGAAGGAAGCGAATGGCACAAGGATGAGTAGAAAGGATGATTCTAAAACAAGCCAAAACATACTTATTGTTTCAAATTTTCAGACCTAAATTTGTCATAATACATGAAACCGCATCTGCTGGAAACTCACAGGGAGCAAGCAGATTCACAAGCACTAAAAATAGAGATTTGTGTAACAAGTTGCAGAATAATGTAATAAAATATATCTTTTCTCATCTGTCTGACAGTTCTGCCTGAAATGTGACCACTAACCCATTTAAACTCTAACTTCATATGTTCTTCCAAGTTATTCTGGCCAACTGCTTTTCAACCTGTCAAAATTACAGGGTTGGCTTTTTTTTCCTATCTGAGGCTCTGACCATGGCAATGTTCTATATGAATGAAATATCCTTTCTACCACCCCCAGCATTATCAGTATTAACGATTCTGTCAGCAGGATTCCTATTTGGTCTTTTATAGCTCTAGGTCTCTGCCGTGTTAACGGTATTATAATTTGTTTTTGTCAGTTAAGTAAGCCCATATGCCTCTAATGCAAACAAGGGACAGATTTATTGAGAAAACGGTGCTATTTTTAAACATTTTCCTGACTAATTTCCAGCCAGTTAGTGATGTCATTTACTTTGAATGCTAAAAAGTCACAATGCTCCAAACCACTAAACTCTTGCTTTGTATACTATACTGAAAAAAAAATATATATCTATATATATATATGTTCAATCAAATGTTTTTTTCACAAACAAAACACACTGCAAAACTGTTTCAGGTCATGAAGAAATGCTCCATATTCCCATGAAGTACATTACAAGGAAGATATTTTCCTTTTGAGGTACTGACAAAACAGTTGGTTTCAATGTGTCACCTATTCTCTTTCCAAGCCCAGGCTTGGTAATGAAAACAGTTAGGCTTATAAGGGAAAAAGCAATTATAAGACAGTGTAATCTAGCTGCAGAGTTCACCACTCAGGCATGTGTTCTCAATAAACAGCTTCCCCTGCCTGCTGCACTGTCAGCCGAAGCCCTGCCCCTCTCTTGCTGAGCATGGAAGGTTTGAGCTGCAGCGATTGTGGTACAGGCTTTTACAGGAGTCTCTTTGTGGTCTCTGCAGCAAGGGAGTTGCCATTTTGGCAGCCCTCTATGTGACAGCAAGCCAGGAGGGAGGGTGGTGGTTGGGGTCAGCAGCTCAGTGGTGGCTCGCAAGTCCTTGAGTCACCCATGACACAGCTCTGCTGCACAGCAGACATCCTACGTCCACCAGCTTCTTGCTTCGGGCAGGAAAGGGAAGATTGTCCTCTTACTAGGTACAGCCTTAAGCTCTCCTCTAACAAAATATGGTGCCAATATATTCTTTTTTTCCTTTTTCATCTTAAGCCTTGAGTAATTTTCAACAAATGAATTTAATACAGAACTATTCGAGGCTCTGATAATCTGGTATTTTAGCAACCTTAGTAAGCATTGCTTTGAAAACTAACAAGCAAACAAACCAACACAAGGTTGTATCAGGAATACTACAAAGACTCCCTTATCAACAGACATTGATTATTTTTGGAGAGCCATTAGCAGTGCTCCCCTAAAGTAATAAATATTTAAAACCAATGTGCAACAGCTGTATTTCAACAGCACCACTATCTAACAACTTTACATCTGTTCTTTTTTCTCTATTGGGAAATGAAAAAAGAACCTACAAACAAAACCTTATGCTAATAAAAGCATGTAATCCACCTCCTGACTTTAGATACGTAGAACTCAGTTCTTCTTTCATTTATATTACTTCTATTTTGGTTAAGCTACATATGTGAGTCAAGGTGATCCTTATTTCCTTCAGTCAGTAGAGAAAATGTAACCTACAGACTTTAGTAAAAGTAGGATCTACTCCTTGGCTTAAGGCAGGCTCCCAGTCAAGCAGCAGTGAATAAAAGGTCATCTATTGTTCATGCTCCCAAATAGGTAAAAAACAAACAAACAAACAAACAAACACCTGTGACCATTACAAATATACTGTGGATTTGGATCTTCAGGTATACTTATAGTAACATTGATTTTATTCCATAGTCTTTTTCTGGCCATCATTTCCAAAATAATCTTTTCCTTGAAGGAAACACAGTCAAATCCATTAATGACAGCATTAAAACACGTCGTTCAAGACTCCCGAGATAACTGAATTACAATGAAGTTGTGCAGATTCACACTGGGGAAGAAAACAAGAGGAAAATCTTGTCACAGGAAAGATGAACGCGTGTGGTACCAACTCGACCTGATGGTGGGTAGTCTGCTGCCTCTGTTGTGCTCATTTCCAGCAGTCCCAGTCCTGTCTGCTTCGTTTTCTGATGAGCCAAGGGATGACAGCGTTGCATCTGTAAGCAAAAATATCACTTGATGAATAAAATCAGTGTAGTATACAATAGCTTCAGATTGTTTTATATTAAAGGCACTTTTATATAAAAAAAATGGGTTTATAAATTGGAGGCAGAGCCTTATGGGAGTTGACCACATGAATGTGACAGGTGGTTGGTTTTGCTCTTTGCTCACGAACCAAACTTGAGGTGATGCACACACACATTGCCACACTTGTTTTGACCAGGCTGTCATCTCACGATCTTGAAGTGTCTAAACTGAAAAAGACCCTTCTGTGCCAGGCTGTCCCACCGCTTTGGTCTTGGAGATCAAAGCCAAATTTCATGCTCAAGTCAAAGCAGAGAATTAGACTATCACATCCTATATCCACAGCCAGCAGTACAGCACATACACTTGTCTTTTTCTGATCTCTTCCAAAGAACACTTTTTAAATGAGAAAGCATTAGAAGATGCAAGAGTCACCTGACTGAGCAGCTGTAGTAAACAAAGAGCAGAAAATGACATGGGAAATGGAGGCTTGATCCTGTGAAATGCTGAGAACTTTGATCCAGCCTCAGGACCTAATCACACAACTGCACACACCGTTATGGCACTCCAAATTAACAGCTCAGAGATAATTGCTGAGTTGTCTGTTTTGAAGACTATTATTCAGTAAGAACTTTGCTGGCTCATAACTGCTGAACTCCCCAAGGGACTGAGTCTCAGAAAAATACAAAATGGGCTGAAATGGTTTACATTCCCCAAGGGAAAGAAACAAGAAAAAACACCAACAAACGTACCACTCTGCATGTAACCTAACAACAACAACAAGGTGATACTAACAACATCTGTGCACGTGGCTTTGTTCCTACCACACAAAACAGTTCTCAGACTTGCCACATCTCTTCCCTTCCTATTTTAAATCTGGCAGACAAAAGTCAGAAGCCTGAAAAGCAGTAGAGAACTAGGGATGAAACAGTACAAAAGAGAGAGAAAATACAATTATTAAAAATTGTTCACTCCCCATCAGTGAAGCACTGCTCTTCAGTCTGACCTCCCTGCCCCTCTGCTCTGTCAAAATAAAACTGAGGCTGGGAGAGAAACTTCTGAGAAGAAGGAAATCAGAGAATAACATCCTGTACAATACAGGCCAGCCCAACAGCATGTCTAACACCAAGTGCCACTCTGCCTTGGCTTTTAGAGCATATTTTTTTGTGTTCGTGCTTTCTGGAACATTCGTGAGTTACTTGGAGTGGGGGAAAATGGTCCCTCACTATACTGCTGTTAATCAGTTGTTTAATTTTTCTCACGTGAACAAAAACCCAGTGGTCATCGGCATGGAGCATCTGGTTCCCGCGTTCTCTCTGCAGCCACTAGATGGCAAACCAGCTTTTAGCATGCAGCTGGATCTCAGCACCTCTGGCTTCAGGTAGTTTTGCAAAACACAGGCAGCAGGTCCCAGTGATTTTTTCATCACTATCTTATCTTAGCAACAGTGGGTTTTAGAGAGCACAAGGCAGTTGATTTGTGCGCTGAGAGTGCCTGCTATATCAGAGAGAGAAAGGGGAAAAGACCTAAAGGGTTTTAGTACCTTTCTGCTGTGCACATTTTTGATGGGTGGATTTCATTGGTGCCCAGCACCCTTTCCTTGGGCACTTGGACACCTGCACTGTGGTGGAAGCACAGCTGCTGCAGGAATAGGGCAGCTGGCTGTAGCCTGGCTTGTAGCACTGCCTCAGAACCTGCAGAACAGCTTCTCTCCCCACCTGAACTTCACTCATCTTCTCTGGTGGCTTTTCCAGCCTGTACTGAAACTCGTTACAGCCACACCTCTGAAGTACTCTACCTCACATTAAGCTGGTACAAACCACAGGCACTGAAGAAGCAGCAATCCCCTCTGCTCGTTCAAAAAACTCTCTGAAAATGTTTTCACTTCCATTTGTTGTATCCCTGCACGACAAGCACCGCTTCTGCCTCTCAGCAAGCAGCCCTCAGCCCGCACCACTGAAATGCCACTTCACCATCCACTCTGCTTCTTGCATCATGAGTTTCATAGCTCCCCAAGTTACAGTCACATTTTTATCCCTTACAACTACACATTTTCCTGTGTTTCACCATCGCTTCCTAACGGGTTCTTCCTACAGAGGATGTGAAGCAAACTGCTCATTACAGCAGGACAAATCGCCCGTCCCTGAAGGCCTGCACCAATTTAATGAAGTAGGATTTGCCTTAGTGCCACTGTAATTAATGAACATGTAAGAACTCAACAACTGCTCGCAGTAACGCAAAGAGCACATGACACAAAACCAAGCCATATTTCAAATCTCTTTTATAGAAGTAATTGAAATTAGAGATCCAATTTTACGAAGAAAACATATTTAAGTAGGAACATTTACCTCGTTATATAACTGAAATTAAGATTTCTCCTCCCGCACTTTTGTCAGCAAATTTTGGCCTCTTTCCTCTCTCATCCCATGCCAGGAGTTAAGAATAGACTGCGAGCTTTTAGAAAACAAGCATGTTTTGTGAGCTGGTTGCAATTGAGGGAAAAAAAAGAAAGGAAAAAAAAAAAAAAGAACACACCGAATGAGAGGCAACCCCGTGTTTGAACCTGCAGCGGGAGGTTCGGACCCGCCTTTGATCAATCAGAGCCAGCAGTTCAAAGGCACGAAGCGATCTGCTGCAAGCACATTACCTGCTGCCGCCAGGTGGCACCGGGCTGCTTGTCCCCATCCTCGCAAAGCAGAAAGTTCACCTTTGCAATTTCCTCTCCAGTTCTGCTGGATTTATTGGGGGGGAAAAAAAAAGTCACTCCGATTGCAGGTGAAGACCCCGTGCTAAAACAGCTCCAGGTTGTCTGAGCTGCGTGCACACGAAGGGACATTTGGAGCCTTTCCCGCGGTCTCACAGGATGGTGTGCCACTACATAATGAAACAATTATCAAATGTATGAAACAAAGGGGTTCTGTTAAAGGAAATAAAAACAAGAAAGGCACGTCAAAAGAAAATTAACCCTATATTCTCGGTGCCTCTTGCGAAAGAAAAAAAATCCCCTTCATCTGAATTCAGGATTTACTGTCCTTCAAACTCGATGAAGCAGTACTTTCCTTTCTAATTGATGTTGAAAACAAATGGGATCCAAAGGGAAAAGGGATTTTTTTTGAGCAGTTATAGAGTTACCACATAAGAAATCAGAAGGAAGAAATCTCTAGTTCCCTGGAGACAAGACACCATCCTGCTTTGCAGTTTCCTTACAATTTCCCACAGACTCGGTGTCACGGGCAGAATGTGAGAACCTTGATCACACGTTACAATGACCCTAAGAGTGCAGCCTCCCATTAGAGCCAGGAGTTGGTTCTGGCACCAGAGCTGTGTTTGGTGGAGAGAGCATCCCTTGTGAGGGGGCCCTGGTGCAGAGCTTGTGGGCAGGGGCCTGGCGTTCAGACAAGGGAGAACTGCTGTAACTTCAGGTGTCGCAGGGACTATCAGCCAGATGTGAATGCACCCAAATGCTGCCCCTGCACTCACCAAGACAGCTGGTGTAGATGTTCAGCAATTTAAGCTTCCACACACTCATCCCAATCTTCTGCTTTGTCCTCATTTATTTTTTTTTAATCTTCCAGCCATAGGATTTCTACACACATCTTCAGAATCTAAAAAGACATAATTATAGAGAATTACATTTCACTACAATTACTCACCAGCCATTAAATTCTCCAAATCCAGTCACTGTACAAATCCTGCTGATATTTGCAGCGCTTATAAAAAAAAAAAATCTGATTTTTATTATACTTTGCTATACATATTTAATTTTATTATAAGTCACTACGGATTTTCCTGCAGATTTCCACAAGAACATGGCCAATTTAGTGCTGAGCACTGCCATTAAATACAGACCTCATGCCATACCTCTCATCTCACATCCATGGGTGGCAAATTTAAAGGAACTCTATCAAAATCACTTTAACACTTTATGGCATGACATAGGGTTGAATTTGTCCACTTACACCGACAGGGGTACAGCACACTCACAGCCACTCTTCTCTGCCTGTAAGTGGATTATTTGGGCTGCCAGCAGTTTTACACAGGTGCATTTGCATTTGCTCTGCATAGACCACAGCTCTCTGCACTTCCTAGCTCAGATGCCTCTCCATGTAAGTGCATCTCTACCACATTTCAGGCCACCAGAGGATGACAGGAAGGGCAGCTGCCTTTGTTCAGAATGGTGTCCCCTCCTCGAGCCCTTCAGGATTTGTGCTTCCAGAACAGCTCAGACCATCTCCACAGGTCTCACACTTAACAGAACTCTTCAAAGCGTGGGCTCTGCACAAGTGTGTGGGAGCAAAGGAAAGAGAAGAATGATGTGCTCCCTCTCCTGGAATTCCACGTTGGTATGCTGCCTGAGACCCCATTTCTTCTGCCAGCAGTTTGCCTGGACCAACACAGGGAATTCAGCACCTCGCAGCTACCTGAGCTGGCAGCAATAGCGCAGCTGGAGGCTTTTCCTTTGGTTGTGTTGCTTGGCTTCCTCCCTCCCCACCACCTCCAGCCTCCTGCATAACCAGCTAGAGTTGTCTTCAGAGCGCAGTCCAGAATTAGCACAGAGTTGCTTGGCAGGAGGAAAACCCCAAACGGGAATTGCCTGCTGTTTGTTTTCCATACAGCACAACAATGACTAATAAAACACGCTCATGCCGCATCCCCAGATTAATAGTAAGCCCACGTAAAAGCTTTGTAAATCATTACCAATTACCTGGCTTCCAGCAAAATCCAGCAGCAGAATGTTAGTCTCCATAAAGACCATAGCTGACACACGCACACACATCTCCTCACCTCACGATATTTAATACCTGCAATCAAAGACTGCTCAGTTTGATGGTGTCCGGATCAAACTGGGACTTACAGGACTGTCCTAGGGCATACATGAGCTCACAGCAGCATATAGGGCATACATGAGCTCACAGCAGCACATAAGACTGCAAGTTTTAGACACCCGAGGTCTGCGGTTTGCAAAAACAGCCCACATCCCATCAGAATTGTTACACCAGGATAAACCTGGCACGAGGACAGCATCAAATCCATTATGTTCATGTTCTTACAACAGCCCTATCATCTTACACCAACGTACAAAACGCTCTCTTGCTTTTGATGTAGAGATTCTAGACCACGTCCTGTGGTAATCTTCAAATGAAATGCTTGTAATCCCTCTGAAAACATAAGGGCAGAACAAGGGAGGAGTTCCTGGCAATTACAGAATTTGTTAATGCAGACTCAGGTATAGCTTTCACAAAAGAACAGGCTCACTGAGGAGGATTTAAAACCCTTACAGTGTTGATGGCTGACAAATGACAGGAAGAAATAGGCACAAAGCTCTGCAAACCCGAGAGGAATGACTTCCACAAGGCATTGCTATGGCTGCTCAGTTCTGCTGTTAGAAGCAAAAGCAAAGATTATTTTAATATTCTGCCTTTTCCACCTATGCCAAGGAAAATAAAATATTGTTTAAAATTGTTTATATAGCAAATCTTGCTAAGGCAAGGAATATTTTTACCATTAGGTAGTGGTGAATCCATTGTGAAATCCACTTGGTGTTTTTTGGGTTCTGTCTCATTGTTAAAGTTACCACACAAACACTGACAATAAATGAAGCAAAGTGCATAAATGAGATTGCTCTAAGGCTCACCACATCACTGTGTGGGCTATTCATGCCATATTCCTGCCTTGGTTATGCTCTATGCCTGCTTCACCTCTCACTAAATTAAGTGAGGGAAGCTGAACCTACATAAGGTAGGGTGGCCTTTGGTTTCCTGGCAGCTCTAGGAGCCCAGGCCATGACCCCACCTTCTGCTGTACGTTTGCCCATACATTCCTGTCCCTCCCCAGGGTTCAACTGATCCTGCTGCAAACTGAGAGGGAAAAGCATCACAAAGCTAAGGAAAAAATGAAAAGGATCCTATTTCTCCTAGTTCAGCTTCCTGAGCTGGGACACCAACGGGTCACAAAGGCTCCGGTGCTGCGGCTGGGGGGAGGGAGGCAGGAGCACAGCCATTTTAGTGAGGTTTAAAGTCCCATGGAGTGCCATCCTTGAAAGAGGCTCCCACGAAGCTGAGCTGATCCATCTCAGGGAACATCATTTGAAATGACTGCAAATGCTGAAGATTTTTTTTAGGAAGATGTTTTCCTGGGAAGAAGGAAAATTAATAATTGCATCCCCTTTGCTGGCCTCCACCAAAAGCTGGCACTTTCCACCAGACTCTTGTTGACTCCTGGCCAGCCAGCTCTGTCTGCCTTGGCGCCCTCCTAAAGCTCTGCGTTATCTCATTCTTATTGCTCCTGCTTCTATAAAAACAGTTATTGGGGTGGGGGCAGACTAAACTGTAAACAAAACATACTGGACCAGTGTAATTTTATACATAACAAAACACTGAATCACCCACTGTCTGAATTATGAAATCCCCTGTGATCCCAGCACTGTCTACTATCTTTCAGGAGGTAACAATGAAAGTGAGAGGAAGACACCAGTTACGAAAAAATGTGGGCCCTCGAGCTCAGCGATCAGCATTATTTTTGTCTCTTTGATATCCTTCCAACCTCCCTTGCCATTGTAGTTCTGTAAAACGTCATAACTGCTTGCCAGAGGCCTTTTGCTTTTAGCAAAATTTAATGCCGTGTCCATAAAAGGAAACATTTCCATTACAGATTTCAATTTCCTTCCATTCCACACTTGGAATTTAGGATGAAACCAGGCAAAACTACCTGAACACCGAGGGCACAGCTAGAGCTACAGTGTTTTAGAGGTAAATAAGCTATTTGTTTGGAGTTTGTAATTGATCTGATCTTGCAGTGCCTGACAAAGAGCAAAAGCTGTACAATGAAATCCTGTATCCACAAAAGTGCAGTAGAATTCAGCATCGGCAGGGCCAAGATTTTATTCTTAACGTCCCACACACACCTCCGTGGCTCAGGTCTGGAAACAGAACGAGTCAGGAACCCTCTGCACTAATATTACAGGGGCTGAGAACTTCGTGTCCTGAAGAAAACCGTCAGCAGGCCAAGTCCTGCCAAACGCTGGAGTGAGGCAAAGGCAACTGAACTGAGAAACAGAATCTGGCTCCCACTGCAAGTCTGAAAGTTAGCTTCAGAAATATTTCAACAGTGATGCCATGTACAACCCAAGCACTACAAAAAGAAATACATCATGAAAATGACCTGGTGTTTTTTTTGTGGTTTTTTTTTAGACTGAATTCACTGTTTTCCTTGTGACATTTATTAATATAATAAATGACCTTAAAATATGTATCCCCTGAAATAAATGTCATTGATTAGGTCAAATAAAAATATCACTTGGCCCAACAATGACAAATTTCCTGGCTGCGCTCCTGTAGGCCCAGAACTTGTTTCATTTAGGAACAAGAGTTACTGGCAGTAGCTGGGAAGGAAACTGCTTGCCAAATGTCTCCATAGGAAATTAAATAATTGAGAATATTCACTAACAAGAAAAAGAAAATAATTGCTCACTTTAGGTTACAGACCCCAAGCATCCTGGATTCAGCTGCTTTTTCAGAAATAGCAGCAGTGATATCAGAATGTTCACTGGAATTTGTTACCTGGCAATGCCAAGAGAAGACCCTCTGGTTGGCTGGTAAAACTTCAGAGAAGAAACACAGTCTTTTCCAAAACAAGGAAGATCTGCAAAGAAAAACGGGGTCTTCTAAAACATCTCATGTCATTTAGTATAATGTTAATCTGTTCAGTAATCTGAGTTTAAACAGAGGAGGAACGTCCACTCCATCCCCAAAATGTAATAGTCCTATTGGCAAGAACTGTGCCTGCATTTGGATTGGGATCAGGGTTGATTCCCGTTTGCATGCAATATATCTCCCCCCAGCAGAACATTACAAGAACATGGGAAAGGAAGGAACTTGGAAAGTTCACTGCCCCAGGATGATGACGGCCTTCTGGAAGCACAGCTTCCCCGCTTTCAGAGGGGTGGGAACTCCTTCATGATCCCCAGGCTCCTGACACTTTTGTAGCCCGCAAGCAATCCATCCTGGCAGCTGAGCACTGTAAAACAGCAGCACTGGGTTTAGTCAGCTCCATCCTGGTGCTGCAAGTGGGACACAAGCATCCTTTACAAGCCCTGGGGATGAACTCGCCCCACTGTGTTGAACAGAATCCCACTGCTAGGAACCAGGGAGGATCAGGATTCCTGGCTGAAGGGCTTGTCTGAGGGCAGACCAGGGAGGAATGGCAGAAATCAATATTTCTGAAGGTGGAGGAATTTTAGGGGCTTTCCTTTGGGAAAGAAGATTTTTTTTCCCTTCAGAAAATTACTGAAATAGCTGAGGAGAAAAAGACTTGAATGAGGGTTTCCTGGATGCGTTTCATTAGATGGTTTGAAAGGACAGAGCTTTGTTGTCTGTTTGTTTCCTTGAAATAAAGCCAGTGTTTGTTGAGTGGCTGCACTGTGCTTCGGCTGGAGGGTGTGGAAACCAGCTGGTGTGTCACAGAAGTGGTCAGCACTTCCCAACTCCCTGCTTCATCTCAGCTGTGCTCTCCAGAGCACACGAATTTCTCTGGGTCTCATTCACCACCATGTTCCTTGTGAAATGCAGAGACCCCAATTCAGGCCACATCTTGCCTCGCTTTTTTTGCAGGTTCTTGTTCATTAAAACTACATCACAATTGAAGTATACTTTTTTCTTTTTTAAATTAGATTTTAAAACTTTTTTATGAGAGATTCAATCATTCTGAAACATTTCTTTATGAATAACAACAAAATAGAGACAGTGCTACCCCCTGGGTGTAGGCTTTTTACGTCACGTGGCAAAACTCTTTGCCTGCACAGAGATATATCGGGTTTTGGCATTACTACTGCATCCACATTCACTGCATTTTCTGTTACTGAATGTGAAAACATGGGCATCACCTGCAGAAACAAGAACATGCACATGACTATAAAGCATGAGCATCATCCAAGGCAATGGCAGACAGCGAGGCTGGAAATGAGGACAAAGAAGAGAGAAGGCTACTTCACAGAAAATCAGACAAGATGCTGCCAAATCTGCTGAGCAAACGCTGAAGGGAGAAGAAATAACTTCTGTTTAGGAAGAAGGGCCAACAGATCCCGTTTACCCAAGTTCTGGAGTCCACTTGCTTTGGCAGGGGGGTTGGACTCGATGATCTCTGGAGGTCCCTTCCAACCCCTAAAATTCTGTGATTTTAAAATCCACAGCTACTGCAGGGAACATTTTAACATTTTCTTACAGAGCACACATATAAAAGTCCAGCTTTTTCCTTACCTGGATTGCAAGTAAAATATTACCTACTGTTTACTGTCCATTTCTCAGGGTTGTTGGGGAAATTTATACATGGCCTCCCACCATACCAATCCACTGCACAAAGGGGAGACCTTCAGATGCTGCACAGCTTCAAGAAACACCAGCTTTGTTGCCAGGCTCTAAAGGAACTAGAGATCGATGCTGTTTGCCCTGTATATCTTCTGTTTTTAAATGACTCAAATCCTATTTGCACATTTCCTGTCTAGGGGTCTACTTGCATGGTTTTCCAAATATGTACTTTTTTTTCTATCCAGAAAAATCTCTCTTGGCAAAAACTGTTAACATGCCCGTATTTGTCCAAGATTTTTGGACATTTATTAGCCAGGTTAGAACAACAGCTCAGTGGTTCCAACCAGCCTGTTGCTTTTCAGCTCTGTACATTCAGATGGCTAAAATGAAGGGCAGTATGCAGCAAGTCCTACCTGCTGTAACTGTCCCTGCTTCTTCATCTGAAGAGAAACATGGACATGCTGTAAAGGT